GTAAAATAAGGCAGCAGTTACGGGTGGATGAAAGTGAAAGCTGCCATACTACCACAAGACTAAGGTTCTACCTGTCCCTGATGTTGCGAAGGATAGGACTGGCCTCAAAGCCATAGAATGTTCCAAGTAGTTGGACCATTCCACTCCTCCTTTGTGGAGAAATTTGCAAACAAAAACACCTTTGATCACAAGTCCATCAGGAAGTGGTCAGCACACAGTTTCCTCAAGACCCTGAGGGAAAAGGAAAGGGCAGACCTTGTCACATGGTTCCCTGAGCAGACTGTCAGAGTCATTTGGCAAATGCCTCATCGCAAGAACTTTCCAACAAGCATCAAGATAACACTTGGCTGGTGATGAAAAGGGCACTTCCTGAGAGATCCTTCTTGTATGCTTGGTCTGTCTGCCCCACTGCACGCTGCCCTTGAAATGGCTGTAGAGGGAGTGTTGAGACTGTCATGCATCTCCCTCTGGAACATGCCTTTGCAAATATATATCTCTCTTTAGCATATAATGTGTAGGTACCGGAGTTGGACTGTGGTGCACAAAGTCAGAAGTCACATGACGCCAGGTTATGGTCCAATAGGTTTATTTGCAATCACAAGCTTTCAGAGCGCCACTCCATTAGGTGAAGTGACTTGTGATTTAAAATAAACCTGTTGGACTATAACCTGGTGTCATGCGAGTTCTGACTGTCTCTATAGCATAAGCACACTCAGCAAAAGTTGAACCAAAAAAAAAGACACATTGCATTAGGTCAAAGGAAGTGACTTAAGGTTGTGAGAATAAGTGGGGAGCCTGAGAATTGTTGCAATATAGAACCAAGCAGAGATGACTAAGAAACTGATTAAGAAAGCAAACACAATGTGAATGCAAGAAACAAAGGCTGGTTATGAAATCCTCAAGTCTGTGAGAAGATCAACAGGAAATGGCAGAGAAACTGAACAAATACTTTGCGTTAGACTTCAGGGAGAAAGAAACAATCTTCCAGCAATACCTGCCAACCTCACCTTCTGAAACTGAAGAATTGAAAGAAATCGGAATTAATAAAGAGGCAGTACTTGAAGTTTAACTGGATTGCTGGTTAATAAATCCCCTGGTCCAAATGAACTACATCCAAGGCCTATCCGTCAAAATTGTGGATACATTGGTAGCTGTCTTTCAAATTTGGATGGATTCTGGAAATGATCTGCCAGACTGGAATACAGCAAATCTAGCCCACCTTTAAGGGACGCGAGAGTAGAAAACTTCAGACCTGTTAGTTTGATGCCAGTAGGGAAAATGTTAGACTCTCGGATAAATAACGTGGTAACACCATTTTCTGATCATCAAGCTAAGAATTGGTAAGAATCAACATGGAAGGGAAATCATGTCTGACAAACCTGTGGAGAAATTTTTAAGAGGATATTACTTGTAGCATTGACTTAGGAGAATCACTGGATGTGGTAATTTAGATTTCTAGAAAGTTTTTGATAAGGTCCCACACAGAAGGTTAGAAAGCAAAATGAGAGCAATGAGTTTGAGAGTAATATACCAGTGTACTTTGAGAATTGGTTAACACACAGAATGCAGAGCATATGATTAAATAGGTCATTCCTAAAATGGCAGGCCGTTACTAGCAGGGTAGTGTAAGGATCAGAGCTAGTTCGATATAAATGATTCAGAGGACAAATTGTAATATTTCCAGATTTGCTATGATACAAAACTAAGAGAGAGTGCAAGGATGCTTTAAATTGACTTGGACAGGCTACGTGAATGGGCAAGAACATGGCAGACAGAATATAAAGTATAAAGTTATCCTTTTAAGGAAAAAAAGCTAAACCGTTTTTTTTTAAATGGTAAGTGATATCCAAGGGGACCTGATGTCCTTGTTAGTGAGTCATTAAAAGCTAGCATGCAAGTGCAGCAAGCAAACAGAAATGTAAAGGGGATGCTGGCTCTTACCACAAGGGAATTTGAGTTCACAATAAGAGATAGATTGGTGTAATTATATAGAATCTTGGTGAGACCTCATCTAGAGTACTATATACAGTTTCGGCCTATACAATTTTGTGCTCATTGTTTAAAGAAGGATATAATTGCTGTAAGCAGACTTATTCAACAGGGAGCTCTTGGCCAGTATTTGGCTCATTGAGTGATCCTCTGTGACCCCGCAACCTTGTTCAAAATAAAGAGTAACAAAAAGATTATGAAAGATTTTCCTCCAATCAGAGGCCAGTTCTCTCCCACATTTGCTTCCTGAAGCTGATCAGTAGTAAATGTGGGCAAGAAACACAATCTGTGTTTGGAGGAGCAGCAAGTACTGAGCCTAAAGCCTGGAGTCAGGGCAGGGCATCTATGGGATATGGACTGAATGAGAACAGGATGAGGAGGGCATGAGCAGGATGAGGAGACAGTTGAGACCGTGATGGGCATGGATTGAGTGTGATGTGATAGGTGGTGTGGGTGAATGAGTGACTGTGGGGAAGAAAGGTGAGTGAAGTTGCTGTGGAGGGTAAATGACTGGGTGAAAGAGAAGACGGTATACAGGAGGGAGTGAATTACTCAGGCAAGCTAGTTGGGTGACTGACTGACTGGCTGGGGGTGGGCAAGGGGGGAAATGACTGGGTTCTGGGGCTAGCTGGGAGGGTGCTGAATGCCTAGATGAATGGGTGGATATCTAGTGTGGGGGGAATAGCTGGGTAGATAGGACAGAGCCAGATTCTCTCACTTACCCCACCTCACAACCTCTCCACCCTCCACAAAAACCCATCCACAAAGCAGAGATAACACACTATGGAGCTGGAGGAACACAGCAGGCCAGGCCACAAAGCAATCTGGGAGAGGAAGAAGAGCCAATTGAAAGAAACCTGGCTCCAACTCTCACTTTCATGTGAACGCCACTGAGATCAGCTCAGATTCTACCTCACAAGAAGCGAACTAAGGTCAGTGTTTGTTGAACCCAACTCCTTGGATTGAGCCCAATCCCCACCACTCCCTGGTATGTGGGCCTTGGGAGCCTGGTCTGTCTCTCTAGCATAAGTGGAAAGACAAAAAGAAAAAAAATTGTATTAGTTAGCTCTGATGTTTGGTACTTTTTAATGATCATTTTTATAAATTACTTATCCAAATATTCAATTTATTGCTTTGAAATATTTTCTGAAAATGTTTACTATTACAGAAAACATTATTTTTCGGAAACTGAACAACACTGCCATATGGTGCAAGAGAAGGTCACCAGACAAATCCCTGGGATGGTGGGATTTTAAGGAGAGACTAATGAAACTGGCCTCTTATTTGCTAGACTTTCAAGGAATGAGAGGTTATCTTATTCAAACTTAAAAAATTAATGCAGGCATGACAAAGTGAATGCAGATAGGAGTTTCCCCAGTTGAGGACTTTAGACCAACTAGACATAATCTGATAAGGGCAGGCCATTTAAAACTGAAATGAAGGAGAAATTTCTTCACTCGGTGGTGAATCTTTGGAATTGTCAGCCAGAGGCCTGTGAAAACTCAATAATTGAGCATGTTAAAAAACAAAAATCAATAAATTTCTAGTTACTCATAATGTCAAAGAATATGAAGTTAGCACAGAAAGTGGCATTGTAGTGGATGATCAATCAAAATCTAATTTAATAGCAGAGTGGGCTTGACAGGCTGAATGGACTATTCCTGTTAAGTATGAGTGCTTATCTGATATAGTGACTCTAGTTTGGTATCCTGTTGGAATAGAGTCAAATTCTAGATACCACACGTCAGGGAGGGCCTGAAAGTTTTTGAAAGATTTACTTGAATAGTATCTAGAATGAGGAATGTCAGTTACTTGGCTGAAGCTGACAGCCTTCTTTGGCCTAAGGAAAATTAACAGGAAATTTGATAGAGGTGTTTAAAATCATGGAAAATTTAGAGAAAGTAAATAAGTGTCCAGTCTTGCTAGAGGGGCAAGACTGGAGGGCATAAGTGATTGTCAAAAAAGTCAGAATCAGCAGGAAGCAATATTAAATTGAAACAAAATACCACAGAAGCTGGAAATCTGAAAAAAAGCAGAAAATGCTGGGAGAAACTCACCAGGTCTGTTAACATTTCTAGAGACAGAAACAGAGCTAGCATCGAGTCCAGTGATTCTTTGGAGAGTCACAGAACTTGGTGATCCATCAGAGATGCCCGTGTGCAGCCATGAACTTAAGATTCCTTCCTGCTAATTTGAGACTAGAAGTAGTAATGATACCAGGAAGGGAGTAAGGATTTTCAGAGGATACTGGATGGAAGCAGAGGAGGTTATTGACAGTGGATGGGAAAATTTTGTGGAAAAGATTGGTGAAGACATTGTAGAGTCATTGTAAGACCTCAGAAGAGGTCTTTTGGCCCATCAAATTTGTACTAACTTATGTACACTAATACCACTTTCCAGCACTTGGCCCATAGCCTTCAATGTAATGAATTTCAAGAGCTCATCCACATACTTTTTAAAAGGTCGAGATGTTTCCTACCTCTACTACCCTCCCAGAAGGGAATTTCATCGCAGGTGGCAATGTCAGAACAGGGAAGAATAATTTGCAGACTGGAGGAAAATATCAGTAGTTTTCAGCAGGATAGAAGCCAATAACAGCAATGATACATATTAATGGATAACCCACTGCCGTTCTCATCATTGTATGTCATGACAATTATGTAGGTGGCCATAATGTGAGTGAATGAGCCATTGCTCATCAGAAAGAGTTGAAAGGTGCAAGAAATATTCAAGATGCATTAAAGCAAAGGCCAAAGTTACTGACGTGCAGAAATTCATCCTACAGCAGAGGCTGGAAAGAAAGGCATTATGATGAGTAATGTGTTTGGAAACCAGAGAACAATTAACAAGGAGGAACTTAAAATGCATCCATACAATTATTTTAGCATTTCTTGACAAATTAATTCCATGCATATGATTTGCTTTTTACTTATTAAACACTTGGCTTTGGCACCCCACAAATGCATAGCTAGAAATGAAATGCCAATGGCTTATGAAGAATTTCAAATCTCTGATGAACAATTCCTTACAAGTTTATTTAAAATAAAATCCAAATGAAATCACACAAGTACCTTACCAATACAATGAAGGAGCCAACAGATTTCAGGAAAGGAAAGTTCTCAAGTTTGTTGAGAATACGAAAACTTCATAAAGTAGGATGACAGAATAATGTTCAGCTTCAGAATGTTTACAAATGAGTTAGAAATCAATGGGTTTCTGGCACAGTGATTTTAGAAATTACCTCCAGAAAAATTAAACTTGGCAAATTGGTGGAAGATACAAAATGTCTTTCTAAACTTAACTTTACTTCAAATAAAAAAAACTTGGCCAAATCTTTAGAACTGATATTGTCCAAATATACCTTTTATTTGTAATCTAGCATCCTCTTTCGTCTATCGCCTCTTAACTGCAGCTAAAATGTTGTGTGTACAGTTAGTTCCTAGGCTTTAGATAGCTAAAAAGAAGAAAAGAATTAACCCTTTCCAATTTTTTACCTCCAGTTTGCTCTTTCACCTGATTCTCCCAGCAACTGGCAGAATACTCATGCTCATCTCATTGTCTCACTCACAAAGACCTAGACTGGCAATTTGAATGTGTTCCTGTCTCATCTCTGGGTACAAGCACATTAATAATAAACTTTAAGTTACAAATGGTATTGCTAATTATGGATATGTAAACTGGACGTTTGAATTGCTCACAAAATATTTTGTTCTAAAAAAGTATGCCTGAAAAATAGGCATCTCTGCTGGAGTCAGATGAAGAGGGGAGAGAGCAAACTTCACATTCAACTTTACACCACGCAGCACCACCAGTAAAAGGCACACCATACGCATAACCACTTGAGGGAGCTAAGAGTATTGATTACGTAGCCATTGGTCCACCAATAGCCAAGTTGTGCTAGTTCTTTCACAAGTGAAATGCCAGAAACTCAGATTAACAGTAGGCGCTTAGTAAAATGGAAACACCTTCTGGAACTGTAAACAATTTTCAAATGTAATCTAGATAACGGCACACTACTAAATTAAATGTTATCACACAACAATCTTGATTTTCATTCAAGCAAAATATAGATGCCTTGAATCGCAAAATGAGTAATCACACTGCGTTAATGTTATACATTAAATGTAACCATTTCCAGTACTCCATGCAAGTAAAAAATACTCTGTCTTGTGGCTGTGATTTCAGATTTTAATTTACAGAAAACTGTTTTAATGCTCAGCATAACTTGGAATAGAACACACTCATACAAAGACAACTGAAAAAGTATCCAGTATTGAAAGAATTCAAAAAAATACTTTAATTAGTATGGATGATGCAAGTAACATTATCCATGTATCCCTATTTTGCAAATTTGAATGTCATTCTTTAGTCCCCAGGACACTATCAAGAATATTCCTCCTTCCTGGAAGTTAACAATTGCAACATTTGAATTTAATCAAAAATCCATAATTCATAAAGGAGTTGCAATATAGTATATATTCTGTACAATGATATTTTTCCCTTTAGGAAGAAGCTTACAGAAATGTCATGGAAAGAGAGAACAGTGTACAAAGTTCAACAGTGAGTAACATTTGCTTATAGTACTGAATTAACATGCAAAAAAAAAGTTACCAGTAACAAGCAGGTATGGCTATGTGATTGGTGCAAAAGTTTTTGAAGGACATAAATAGGCAGCAATTACAATCAGTGCTGACTGTCCATGTCTTTAAAAAGTTACCAGATAATTATTTAAGTGACTTACAAGCGCTTTTTTTTAAACCAACAACTGGATATCCTGCTTGCTGCTTGAATACACTTATCAAACATTCTCAGCTTTACCGTAATAGGGAACTGCCCGTAATACAAGTTTCACAGCTTTTCTGCAAACACATGCTGTGTCCCATATTGAAGAAATTATTAGCTGATAAATTTTACTGCAAATATTTTGTTTACAATGTAAAGATTGTTAATTTTTTGTTAGTTTGGAGATTTCATCTTTGATGGTGGGGTTTGTTTCCTTTTGAAGAATTCCAACTTTAGCTGCTGAGCACATCCAATTTACAGAAGATTTCTATTTCCAAAGATATTGTTGGGATCCACATATTGCTTAACAGATTTCAGCATCCCAATACCGACATCAGAGATACTGTCCTTCAGCCATCGTTTTCGTAACTTACCAACTAGAAGACAGACACAAAATGCTTGAGTACACACTTTACGTTAAGAGATCAATCTTTTGAACATGGCAAATAAATACTGTATGATAAATGATTTTATTTAGAAGAGAAGAAATGCGGTGTCATATGATTTATTGAGCTCCACTGACTATCAGGCTCATTAAACTCAGTGCTCCCCAAAAGGGAGTACTATGCTGCACAGTCAAATTCAATGCAAAAGTGGAGAACCAATATGTAAAATACAATGATTTGTAGATTTTAATGAAGCTATTAACACTATTAAAGCAGAGTCTTCAATTTTTTTTCTAGTCAGATGCATTCCTTGGTCATTGGGATATTCGGTCCAACAAATTTTAAATCATGAAATGTAGTTTATTTCTTACTGCATCTTTAAATCAGCACATTGTGTAATTTAGTTGAATTATCTTGGTGTCAAAAAACTTGTGTAATTTTGCCCTTATATTCAATAGATGTACATACTGAAACAGCTGATGTGATGGCACACCATTGTTTTTATCAGATAAATATCATTTGATAGCATTCTCTCTATATTCATTTGAGAAGCATAATTCATGAATGACATTCTTAACAAGTCATCTTTCAATATTACTACATAAACCTGTCCAAAAGGCAGCTCTACACATTGCAGTAGAAGTGGAAGATGAGCATTATTCTAGTCAAGTCCACACACAAATATCACCAAATAGCTACTGCAGTTACAAATGTAATTGCCCAGAAAAGGACACATACAGCGGTTGACTGGACGTAACATATTATTGCCACTAGGCTGTAGAAACTAACATATATGCTTGAATGCACGCCTCCAACACAACTGTAACTCCATATGGAATTGCACTGACTTTTGAACAGCCAGAAAACAAACATCTCTGCATAGAAAATGAAGCTACTCAGAGCTCCAAAAGCAGAAGGTACTTGGAGTGCATCATTAGCTTTGTCAGAGTGCTAATTTGCACATCCATCTTGTCATATTTCCTCAGTTTATATTTTTATCATAGTAAATTGAATATTCATTTGACTAGTGAGCTGAAAACCTGCGGTCCATGGGCTGTTTTATTGCAATCTTGTTTAAAATTTCTTTACTCTATCACCTCCAATAGAGAAAATTATATTCACTTTTTACTGCAAGGCAAAGACAAGGGGAAAAAAAAAAAGGTTTTCAACCTGGAAAATGCTTTGGTCATGGTTAGGTAAGGATGAGCAATGGGTTGCTCAAACAAAGTATCCAAATAAGAAGTGAAGCTAATGTTTTACTTTATTGTCACAGGGACAAAATCAAACCCAATATGATCAACCCGACTTAAGCTAAATTTTATGTGGCATCTTAATGTTAAGCAGAAATGACAACTGACCAAAAATAAAATGACTGAGTATTTGAAAGCAAAAAACCTCATACTAATTACAACACGTCACGAGTTCCTAGAAAAATTATTTGCTCCATCGCAGAAAAGTGCATACATTTTTGCTTCAACATGTAACACTCAAGAACGTAGTGAATATTGTTAAAAGGTTGGAAACTTCATTATGTAGCCTTAGTTATTTTTATCCCCCACCCTCTGAATAACTAAACAAGGGTTAAACTAACTAAACATAACACAATAAAACATAATACCCAGTTCTGGGGACGTAAAACAGTGCTGAATAGAGAGTACTTATGTAGCCAATAGCAGCAACTGACTAACAAGAATAGATTTAGTTTTCCATCCTACACCATATCCAAAGCACAAGTATCACAGTGTTGGATTTCATGAGTTGTTGCCCTGCACCCAATCAGGCAAGAGGAGAATATTCCATTACACTCCTGACATGTGCCTTATTAACAGTGTGCAGTCACTGGGGAGTCAGGAAGGGAGCTGCTTGCTGCAAAATTATTGTAAAACAGTTTTTATATAAGCTGTACCGTTTACTGGAAAGTGAACTAGACATCTCCAGAATGCTGACAGTGAGGGATCTAGAGGTAAAACATAGAAAGTAAGAAGAGTAAACCATCTGGTCCTTTGAGCCTGTAATGGTAATGCCATTGAACAAAGGACAATGAGTTTATTCTCCCTTGTTGGAGATGGTCTATTGCATGGCACTTACATGGCATGTGTTAATTACCACTTACCTGCCCAAGTTTTCACTGTTCACATCTTGCAGCACATGGACTTTAATTTTGTTTTTGGGTGAATAGACCTCCAAGGTATGTGCAGCATCAACTTCTAAAACCAGAAGTCAGTGCACTAGCATGCTGATCAGCATGCGTAAAACCTCAAGAGTCGCTTTGACAGAACGTTGATATGGACATAGACTGCTTCATTGTCTGAGAACCAGCAAATGAAGTTGAATGTTACACAATCATCAGTGAACATCCCCATTTCTAAACTCATAATGGAGAGAAGGTCATTAATGAAGCAGCTGAAGATATTTGGTCCGAGAACACTATCCAGAGGGTAGTGATTGAGATAATTGACCTCAAACGATCACCAACATTAAGTGGAGTGATCTAATATCTAAATAATTGCTGGTCAATTACTCATTATCTGGCACAGAGAATTAGCATTATAAAAATGATTCAATGTTGATTTTGCTTCTAATAATGAGAGTTTAAACTGTATAAAAGGACAGGTGGCCAGAATCCAAAATGATGTATCAGTACTCTAACTGAGTTAAGACCTGCATTACCAGTGGTGCTGTCACTCAGATGAGACATGAGAAATCAAGATCCACCTGTTACTTCAAGTGTGTATTTAATACATTTACTTGAAGAGCAGAGTGATCTTGCAGTGTCAGTGTCACTACCAAAAAACAGATTAAGCATTCATTTCTTTCAGGTTTGTCGCATTAGATGTGCACAAAATGGCTGGACTGTTTGCCTATATAATATTGCAAGAATCAAACATTTAACATGGAAAGAGACTTTGGATGGCATTTATGTAATTTCAACAATTCTCACTTCAGTATAACAACTTATGTGAAATTCATATTTCTTCTAGTCTTCAGCCTTAGATTACACCAGTTTTCTTCAATGCACCGATGAACAAGTAAAAAGAACTCCATTTATCACAAAATAATTGCAAGTAGACAAACTAGTCTGCCTCTTTCCAGCTAACTATTATTAATCACAATTACAGCTGAGACAGTGCAACAGAAACAATCAATTTTTTCCATGACATTAAATTCTCAATAGAGAATACAAGGGCACGACCTCAAGGTCAGTAAATGAAACGGATAACAATAAGAAAATTCAGCACAGAACATCTTTCACGATAATTTATTATGCCTGATATAATTGCACATTTATAATTTGTCATATTGTGTTCTCAAAATAAGCCCTCAAGTTCAACATTCAATTTTGAGGCTGCAATGCATTTCACAGATTCAACGCTGAATAATCCATGGTATATATGTTCTTTTAATTAACTGCATTTTTCTTAATCCAAGGATTAAATAATGTTTGTAAACAATTCATTTTGGCAAAGTGGATTTATGCACCAGTTTAATATTTCACAGATTAAAAATGAAAACAATATAAGCCTTTAGCAAGTGTGCTGGGGTTGGCACAGGAAGATTTTTTTTGTAGGTTGGAGGGGAGAGAAGGAAAGTGCAGGAAGGTTAGATTCAGAGGTTTGAATGACATTGGAAAAGACATGACTGGGGTGAATGCAGAAGTAGAGTTTAGCAAGGCTCTGAATGGATTTGAAGAGTTGTTGTGAACTGTAACATGCTGGGACGCAAGAAATTAATAGAAATTGATGTAGATAGGAAAGTGAAGAAAGCGTTTGGCATGCTTGCCTTTATTGATTAGTGCACTGAGTACAGAAATTGGGAGTTCATGTTGCAGCTGTACAGGACATTGACTAGGCCACTTTGGAATACTGCATTCAATTCTGGTCTCCTTGCTATACGAAAGATGTTGCAAAACTTGAAAGGATTAAGAAAAGATTTACAAGGATGTTGCCAGGGTTAGAGGGTTTGAGCTGTACGGAAAGGCTGAATAGGCTGGGGCTTTTTTCCCTGGAGCATCAAAGGCTGAGGGGGCAACCTTATAGAAGTTTATAAAATCATGAGGCACATGGATAGGATGAATAGCCAAGGTCTTTTCCCCAAGGTAGGGGAGTCCAAAACTACAGGGCACCGTGGGACGGCATGGTGGCTCAGCGGTTAGCACTGCTACCTCACAGCGCCAGGGATCCGAGTTCAATTCCACTCTCGGGTCACTGACTGTGTGAAGTTTGCACATTCTCCCGATGTCTGCGTGGGTTTCCTCTGGGTGCTCCGGTTTCCTCCCACAGTCCAAAGATGTACAGGCTAGGTGGATTGGCCATGCTAAATTGCCCGTAGTGTTCAGGGATATGTAAGAATCTATAGAATCCTTACAGTGTGGAAACAGGCCATTCGGCCCAACAAGTCCACACCAATCCTCAGAGAATCCTACCCAGACCCATCCCCCTATAACACACCTAATCTAAACATCCCTGAACACCACGTTCTGTGGGTTATAGGGGGATGGGTCTGGGTGGGACCCTCCAAGGGTCAGCGTGGACTTGTTGGGCCGAAGGGCCTGTTTCCACACTGTAGGGATTCTATGAACTATTTAAGGTGAGAGGAAAAATTTAAAAGGGACAACTTTTTCATGCAGAGGGTGACGCTTGTATGGAATGAGTTGCCAGAGGAAAAAGGGGAGGCTGGTACAATTACAACATTGAAAATGCATCTGGATGGGTACACAAAAAGGAAGGGTTTAAGAGGTAAAAATGGGCCAAATGCTGGCAAACGGGACTAGATTAATTTAGAATACTTGGTCGGCATGGATGAGTTGGACCAAAGGTTCTGTTTCCATGCTGTACAGCTCCATGACTCTAAGACAGAAATGATGGGTTTTGGGATTTAGTGCAAGACATGACATAACAGAGGTGCTGAAATTTATGAACAGACTATGACGTAAAATTAGCAAAGCCCATTGTCATCTTTGTATTCAAATAGTAAAATATGGAATAAAAGTA